GACGCAACCGAAAAGTCGGTTATGTGTTCCAACAAAGTTTTAGCAAAGTCGGTTAAAGGACCCGATAGCGCGTTGGACACAGCGCTCTTGAAAAAGGCGGAAATATTAATTTGGAAATTCATTCAAGACGAGTGTTTTCATTCGGAAATAAAATGTTTGAAAGCAGGCAAAAGCGTTGAAAGAAGTTCACGCTTAAGTAAATTATCTATGGAAATAGGAGAGGATAACTTACTCCGTTTAAATGGACGTTTACCTTTCAAGTCTAATTTGACCGAGGAAAGTAGAAAACCTGTCATATTAGACGGTAAACACGAAATCGTTAAAATGATGATTAGAGAAGTTCATCATCATTTTGGACACGCCAATCACCAGACGGTGATGAATGAGGTGAACCAGAAATTTTACGTCTTGAACTTGCGTAATGTAGTACGAAGTGTGTCACACCATTGTCAGTGGTGCAGGACATACAGGTCAAAGCCGCAAAACGTGCCACAAGGAAATATTCCTCTGGAAAGAATAGCTCATCATGAGCCACCTTTTACATGCTCAGCTGTAGATTATTTTGGTCCTATGAGTGTGACTATAGGAAGGCGACACGAAAAACGTTGGGGCGTTTTATTCACGTGTCTGACCACCAGAGCAGTACATCTGGAATTAGCAGCCTCATTGACACCAGCGTCAATGATAATGGCGTTAAGGCGATTTATCGCCAGAAGAGGAAAACCAGCCGTTATATACAGCGATAACGGGACAAATTTCAAAGCTGCAAATAAAGAATTATTGAAAGCATGCGAAGAATGCTATGAGGGCATGAAAAACGAGTCATTTAAGAAATATATTAAATGGAAATTTATACCTCCGGGAGCACCGCACATGGGTGGCGCCTGGGAGAGGTTAGTAAGATCGATTAAAATTGCGTTGACCGCTACGCTTAAGGAGAAGAGCCCACGAGAGGAGGTTCTACATACGTTACTTTTAGAAGCAGAGCATACGGTAAATTCCAGACCTCTGGTAACATTCAGTATGGATAGTCCTGAAGAGGGTTTGACACCCAATCATTTTCTTCTGGGACGCTCATGTGGTGATCGACCACCTGGATTATTTTTAGAGCGACATCTGACGGGTCAACTCAATTGGAAAGCTGCACAGAGGTTAGCCGACCATTTTTGGACAAGATGGCTGAAAGAATACATGCCTACGTTAATACCTCGAACAGATGATAACGGCAAGTTCATGGAACCTAAAGAAGGCGATATTGTTTTGATAATAGATCATTCGTTGCCACGAAATACGTGGCCAAAAGGTAAAATTAGTAGAACGTTACCGGGACCAGACGGTCGCACCAGAGTGGTTGACGTCATTACTAGCACAGGTATCTTGAGGAGACCTACATCCAGAATAATAGTCCTGGTACCCGCGACGCCTCCCAAATGATGGTGCTAACGCACGGGGGGGGAGATTGTTGGCGACGCGCCTATAAAAATGTTTCAGTTTATTAAATCAACCGATGACGTCGCTATGAAAAAAGGGGCAGTCACGAGCAACGACGCTCTGATAAGAGAATGCTTAGTTAAATCTTTAAGAAATGTCGAATTAATGATATGAAGGTCTTGGGTTCGACTCCCAGGCCGGACTAGTTTGTTTGTTTTCCTAAGTAATATCGCTTAATAAATTCGTAAGGAATTTAAGATATAAATTATGTTACCGGATTTGTTCCCCGGTTGAAATCATCTTTCAAATGATGTAAATTCATAAGAATATTAAAGTGAAGTTAAAGATCGGATTTGTTCCCCGGTCGAGATAATCACCCTGTGCATAGGCAGAATTAATGGATATTAATTGCATAAATGTTGTTTTGTATAAGTTTGATACGTTTTGTACGAAAACAAATGCCTATTTGTTATGATTGATTAATGAGAACATTCATTTATATTGTTATCTGATTAAAGATAGTTTCATACAGTTCGAAAATTGTATAAAAGCATTTAATTTGCCTAATGTGGTCAAAATTGGTGTATTTCATAATTAAATTTTTTCTGATAGCCGAGAGCCGTGCAAAGTTAGTTGTTCACATAGCGTGAGTACACGGAAGCACGCTGGCCACGCCCTTAGGAGGCCGAATATGTAAAAATTTAAAATGTTTGTAATTCAGTGATTTATGTAAAAATTACTTGTAAAATATTTCAGGTTAATTGTACGTGCTAAAAAGGTAAATTCTGTGTTATTTTCATGTGAAAATTCCTGTGTATAAGTGAAATAATGATAGTTTTGTATAAGAAATTTAAAAGTGTTTTAAATAGTGAAATAAATAGAAAAAATGTAAATTAAACTATTGTATTGGTTAGCTTATGTATAAATTCAAGTGAGAAACATTGTTTTAACTTTCTGTGTTAAATATTTAAGAAATTTCGATTTCGAACTTGTGAGTAAAATAGGCAGTTTTCGTTTAATAAATAAAAGGTTTTTTATGATATGAAGATATGATGTATATCATGGTGTAGATATTGTTTTGTACTACCTATATTGATAAATTGTATTTGTATATGATTTGAATAAATAAAGATATTGAGTGAAACGTGAGAGAGTAATAGTACAAATTCATGTAATTAAGTTGCGCAAGCGCGCAGATGGCGCGGCTCACTTTCGCGTATAGCTCTGGGGTAGCTTAGTGAACGGGTTTTATTGCAATTCGTTCGGGGATCTTACCAGCAGTCAATAAGAAGAAGAAAGAAAAAGTGTAGGGAAGTGATAGGGAAAAGTGATTACTCTCTCACGGAACGGTTTGAAGATAATTGCTGTTTCATTCCCAAGTAATTCATCCCTTAAGTTATACAGTCCACATCGAAGAATTAAGGCGTCGGGACCGGGACGACTTCGGAAGACCCGTAATCCCCGTCTGAACCTACTTGCTGAAAAGGAAGAGGTTATCGCCCTAGTGTGTTACTCCGTTGCGGAGATCACATACGTTGTTCCCGAACCCAACGTAGGCTTGATAGGAGGCCGGATCGAGAGAAGCCTCGATTCCTGTTTCTTAGTACCCGATCCGCTAGGTCCTTTTCAATTGGTCCTTTTCAGGATCAAGAGGGACACCGACCTGGTCCTTTTCAATTGGTCCTTCGCGGCCGGATTGAGAGGACCCCGAGCCTGGTCCTTTTCAATAGGTATTCTTATACTCAGAATTTTGTAAATTAATTAGCAGGTAATAGTTTTCGTCAGTTTCATTACGCAATTTTGATTAAATTAATAAGTTACAATGCTGAAGTTCAAAGCACTATAGTATGTGCCAAATCGATTGAGAAAAACGAACAATGACCTCTGATATGAGCCGAGTGTCAAAGGGCGTAACTTACAAAATCTCAATTAAGATGTAATAACCATATTTAAATATTGATATTATTCACACTTCTAGGTCAGCACATAGGTTTTGTTTTTTTTTTGTTTCTTAAATAATATTGTCTGTGGTTCCTATTATAATACTATAAACATCGTAAAATCTTACGGTACATCGCGAAAAATGTGTTATATTTTATATTTCAATTTAGTAAGTAACGCAGCAATTCTTTTAATAACAGTTTCATATTAAAAAAAATATTTGAAGCAATATAATCACCATATTGAGCTTTTCCAAATTCATCCCTTTAAAATAAACAAAACGCGCGTTACCTCAGTTAGTTCTAAAAAAAACGTGATAATGGCAGCTAGAGATGCGTCACCTTTTTTGGACGAGTAATGATTGCACCGAATAAAAATAAAGTTCTTATATAACATTGAAAATATAAATTTATGCTTTTTGTTGTTAAATGAATAAAGTACTTTATAACAATATATGATTTTTCTACAGCGATATTTTACATAACTTTTTAATAATAGTTAATAAATGTAAATTATATCAATCATTATAAAAAAATATAAAAAAATAGTTATAAATAAAGAAAGTACTACATATAAAATGTGCCTATATATTGAAGGTTTGTGACCCCTGGTTAAACGACCGAAAGGTCCGTTTTTCTCAATCGATTTCGCACATACTATAGTAGTATACTTGCTCGTTACGTAAAAATGAAACAAGTTTTAGTATGGATGGAGCCCCCCCCCCCTTGCTGAAATCACAGCTAGTAGTCTGGGCATTCTAATGAGTTATGGTTTCTAACGAAATACATTCCCACTCCACGGTAATAACAGTCTTTAGCTCTCTGATCGTCTGCGGAGCCGGCTGCACTGACCACAGTCGTCGCTAGAGAACGTCTCAGACATGCTTTATGGGATTTAGGTGGGGACTTCATCCAAACGACGAATCCCGACCGACAAATCCACTTCCACAACGCTAGACTGGTGGGCGCGACCATTGCCGTCCATAAAAATTGAGTTTTTGCCTGGAGCGGCCAATGCGAGTTTTTTTATAGGAGAGGGGGCAAACTACGACTACGATACTCATCATATGAAATACAGCAGTATTAAGTTGTTATTTTAAGCTGGTATTCTGTGAGAGCGTGGTTCCTTCTTGCTTCCCCGGTCGAGCTGACCCATTCGTGCTACAACTATAATGTAGATGCAGTGTGGCTCTACCACTTAAAGACTTATTACAAGAATGATAAATTTTCTAGAACTATCTAGTAGAAATAATAAAATTTAAAAATTATAGGGTAAATATACACTATACTTAAGATAATAAACCGAAATCACGTTCAGTTTTTGCTCCATATCGGGACTTACAATACCTTAATGAACAACCGGGCATATTTTCGTTTAAAAAAATAAATTTAGGAAACTGATGCTTCTTGACCAAATCCGAAATATGTCCTAAAGGACAAAAGTAACAGGTGACCATTTTGTTGCTGATATCTGGTCACTCTGGTCTATTACCACTACTTAAATGTTTTTGCATCAGGCAAAAATTTGCGGCTGTCAATTATAGCTTTTTTTAATGTGACGAATTTGTCGAAATCCCAAATACAATGTACATAAAAATGGTTTACAGTTTATACAAAGCGAAAACTTACCCAAAGGATTTGTTTCGAACACAACATTCAACAAATTGACATCTTTTGTCACTTCCGGAGAAGTAACCATTTCTGGTTCAAATTCGCCTTGCTTCACGCCCCAAACCGTAAAAGACTGCATTTGGACGTCAACCCTGGAAACCATAACAAACTTTTATGCACGCGTTTATCGGTTTCAAGGGACATGCGTGTAACCATTTTTTTATTTATTTATATATATATATATATATATATATATATATATATAGAGCCGTGGTAGCTCAGTGCTTAATGCTCGCTGTAAATATAACAGAACGCGAGTAACCCGGGTTCGATCCCCGCCGGCACCAATGAAATTGTTAATTGCAATTTTAAGTGCTGATTTACCACGTGCTCGGCGGTGAAGGAAAACATCGTGAGGAAACCTGCATGTCTGAGGAATAAGAAAAAAAATATTTCGAAGACATGTGAAGTTCGTCAACACGCATTTGGGCAGCGCAACGGACACTTCCTTGCCCTAAAACCCTCTCAGAAATGCGGGGAGGGCTGAGCCCAGCAGTGATACGTATATAGGCTGTAACTTTACTTTTACATTCATATGGTCGTATATTTATGAATATATCTGAAAATATATACTTATATATATATATATATATATATATACATACGAACGACATTAAAATGAAAACACTGAAAGTGCTAATGGTAGTAATGTAAGATTTGTCAATTTCAAATTCGTCCATATTGAACTGTTTTAGCGTAGTACAGAATAAATAATGTCCCCTAAGCTGTTTTCTCTAATGCGCTCTCAAATGCGATGGACTTTCAATGGTCAATAATTTGTAGAGCAAGGGTTTTATAGAACAATAATTTGTTTCCTAATACATTTCGTGGTACATTCTTATTGCTACATTCTGATTACATTCTCAATAGGATAAAATTATGTCAGCATACTTAGCCACTAAATAGCTACCACTAACCAACACAAGCATTTTAAGCTTACTCAGTGGTTAACATTTATGTTAAGTAATTCTGGTAACAGTACAATAAAATTTTTAACTTTAGCTAACAGCGTTAATGAATTTTTTGTACATAAAAATTAAATCCGGTGTGTTTGCTTTCTCTCTGTAGTTTCGAAACCAAAGGTACAAAATTAGAGAAACGTAGGCGGGTATGGAGGGGTGCAGTCACTTAGATAATTTAGTACCTCCCCCCCCCCCCCCCGGAAGACATGGTGGCTCTAACTCCACAAGAGAAAACATTTTGAGAGTAGGGTCTGTGCTCATGTAACAGTCGTCGTTATCTCGCGCCTCTATATCAAAATACTAGCCGCAACAAGACTTATAAGTTTGCTTATCAATAAATTCAGTTGCAGGTGCCACTGCGAGATTTGAGACGAGTATTTCCATTTCACGTTTTACTATTTAATATGAATGTGATGAATAAGAACATTTTATACTGTGAAATTTAATAATAAATAGAAGATTTAAATATTTTTCTGTCATCAATTTATAATAACCCATATAAACAACATTAAAATAACTAGTTTCGTTTAGTCTATTTTTATTGAAACTAATTAATTTAATTACTTATATTATTTGAGTATCCAGTTTAAATATATAAAAGCAATCAATCTTTTAATAAATGTAACAAAACTTCAATTTATAAGAAAATTTAGGAGTAACAAAAACTAACGCACCTATGGAGTGTCGGTCATTTCGAAGAGGCTATAAATCATCAGTAAAACAAACGCTATTCATAAATTATTGTACAATTACAAATACTATGCATACTCTCGGTCTGCTATTGACAAAATTTTGTGGCGATAGCTGTGTGTAGGGGAGAATGCACGTTAAAATGTGTAAGCCAGATGTTACTAAAAAAACTAGCTGCTAGTTGGATACAAAATCTAACCTAAGAGCATTAGCGCTGGGTCTCTGCTTCATATCCAACTGCACGTGGTCGACGCACGCCCTCAGAACTTCCCCGACGTCGTTAACTGTCACCTGCAGCCTGTCGAGGTGGAAGAAGCTCTCCATCGCTACGTACTCCACGGGCAGGTGCAGCGGCGCCGTGTTCTCCTGATAGTCTATCGCGCGGAACAACTTTTCTTTCTCCTCCGGTGTCATTGCTTTCTCGAATTGTTTTACTGCAAAATAATACCATGTTAATGAATCGTAAACGTAAATTAACATAATTGGAAGAAGCAATGGGTAGCGGATGTATTCGTATGCAGCCTTCTCTATAAGGGACGCCCTTTTCGCAGCAGAAGTCGCATAAACAAATCCACTAGAGAATGTTCTTATGGGATTGGAAGAACATAAAGAATGTAATTAAAAATTGAGTACAAATGCTACTATTACGTACTTTCTCCGATATTAGTCTTTGATTCAGGGTCTCTAAAATAACAGCCCAACCCAATATTTTGTCATCAATAGCAACTATCAAATAATTATTATTAGAGAAATCTATAGACAAATTAACGCAGTCTTTCGCATTCGCACACGAAAAAGATAGATTTATGCATACGTCTTGCATAGAAATGAGACAGAGCGGTGTGATTGTTTGTCCCTTTCTCCGTGCCGGTTTTTTTGTTTAGCAAACTACACATTGCTAAACAACTTTGACAGTTCGTAGCGATCTAAGGAGTTTACAAGTTGGTTTAAGTGAGAAAAAAGTGTTTTGTGAGCTTAAGATTGGTGAATCTTGTTCAGTTCCGTTCTCAGAACAATTAATATTTTTATCTAAATATGTTTAAAAGTCATAAAGATTATTGTATAACTTAAAACTACGTTATCGTCTTTTCTCACTCGAGGCCACACTAATCATTAGTCTATAGGTTTCTCTGTCTACGTTACATGTGGTTTTTTCCACATTTTACTACAAAAACCACCTCTAACATTGAACAAACAGCATCCTTACTTATAGCAGTGCCCTCAGTGAGCTCGTCGTCCTTGGAGGTGCCTCGGGAAAACCAGCCGCCAAACCAGCCGCGGGTCTTGCGGGCTTCCTCCTCCAATTTACCCAACCTTTCCACCTGATACAAACATAATATACACGATTATTTTATGAACACAAGCGATCGCGTATTCTAGGTTCCTAAATAGCGAATTTGCGAATCCAGGGATTTCATCATAACATCATACATCCAACAAGGATTGAGTCACAAACAGAAATAAGAATTTGTGTGAACACACAAACTATTGTCGCTTTTTGAATCTATAATACTCGCCATACTTAAATGATCCTCGAGAAAACTCGATAAGCTTGTACGGTTAAACTCAAATGCTGCTCAAATAATAACAAGAAATAATAAAAAATAATATCAAAAATTTTGGTAACTACACTTAAAAAAATAATTTGACTGCTTTATATTATTACAATGGCGTGTGTTCGGTTTTGACGATGCGGTACACGGGTTCGTTGCCCAAACGTAAAAAGTATTAGTAAAACCAACAAATAATTACTTTGGCTCAAGTAATTATCATGAATGGGTCGGCTTAACAAGTGAAATACCAAATTCTCACAGAATACCAGTTAAAATAATCCATTACCACAACATTCTGAATTTAAGAGAAGAAAAGGACAGAATGTTTGAGATTTTTTTAATTAATTTTTCCTCACTATTCGCCTATATTACTAATTATTCTGAACGTTCTCTGCAAATCTTAATATATATAAATTACGTGTCACGTTATTTGTCCGCAATGGACTCCTAAACTACTTAACCGATTTTAATCAAATTTGCACACAGGGTGCAGATTGGCCCGACTTGAGAGATAGGATATATTTTTGCTCACAATTTTTTTTTGCGAATTTAAGGATTTTTAATTGGACATGACAAAGGGTCGTTTATATGGGCAGAACAACGTCTGTTTGGCAAGCTAGTTTGACCGTATATTGCAAAATAAACGTATCTAAAATCTGTGCCTGACTTAATACTTAACTACAATAACATTAATACAATAAGATTGGAGGTACACTTCAAAACTTGAAAATAAATTAAAATTCACTTTGCACAATTTTAACAGTAATGTATTACTCCTTTTTTACTCAACACGCTTTGTACTTTACCTCCATTTCTATCTTCTGCCTTATAACAACCAAGTTGAATAAATCCAACGACCTCTCAGCCTGGCCGATAACACTCTGCTGTTCGGTGGTCACTTTGCCATTGTTGCTCAACTTGCATTGGTAGGCGTTCGCGTAGTCTTTGCACAGTTGTCTATGACTAAGCATGTGTGCCCAGTTCCAATTTCTACGACGTCTTCGTACCTCCTCCTCCAAGATGCAAGTGTATGCAAACTGCCACCACTGTTTATAATGACCCTTGTAGATTTTTAGATTTGGACGGTATTTTCTATAAAAATTAAAATCGTTATTTTGAATTTACTGCAGCACAGAAAATACATATGGCGTGTAGTCGCGGCGTTAGTGAATTCACTACACTAAGGATGGATGATCCTGGGAATGTCGTAAGGGGCGATATAGGGAAACGAAACGGATCAGAAAAGTTTGCCATGTTATGGTTATTGCCTAATTTATTAAATGATTGATTTTATTAAGCTAAATATTGAATTATGATATTTCTATAATGCAATCTTAGGAGACCCCATTTAAACTGTTGCATTCCTAGAATTATGTCTATACGGTTAGTTATAGTCAACCAAATCTAAGAAATACCGTTTGACGTTTCACAATTAATCATTCCGCAATAACTTTGCACAAGCGTACTCATATGATTTACAATAACCTTTTACCTAAATCCGAAGAATAATGAAGTTATCTATATTTAATTACAAGGTGTTTAGTTTTTTATCACTAATTTAAATTTGAAACTTTCAAAAAAAGCAATATATTAAAATTATGATATGTCGCTATGTGCCTTACCGTAGTATTTGGGAGATTAAAATTCATTGATATGCTAATAATTGGCAAAAAGATTCAAATAATCGTTAAAAATATTCAAATAATTGAATCATTAATTTTTTTAACGTATTATTTGTTTAATAAAATTTTTATTTTTATAATTCCTTAATTTACATGAATCATGAATAAAACAAGTTTATTTTTTTTTTACTTTGTCAACGTAAAGGACAATGGCGAGCTCCCAAATAAATTTTAATTGACTTTTTTTTCTTGCATCCACAAATGCAAAATATGTAAAAATGTAGTTTAAGATCCTGAACATTTCTTTCTTCGGTCATCTACTGCAGACAGTTAGGAATTAGACATATTCCAGTTTAAACAAAATACACGTCAAACTCGGCTGTATGCTATAAGACCTTTGTCGGTCTTAACTGACGAATCGTAACAACTACAACAACTAGTCAATTAAGTTTGGAATTGTGTATGATTTTTTTTTCTATTGCCCATAAACTTGATTAGATAATACATAGTAAATTTTTTCATTGGTATCTGTAATGGTGACCTAAGTAGACGCTTAATAATTCCATCACCTATTATTTCGCAATTGTCCTTTGTGTAGGCAAAAAACTCATATTACAGGGCTACGCTGAAAAAACCACTACATAATTTCAATTTCCCGGCATTTCGGGAGCTTACTGTGCGTAATTTTGTGATTTTGTGTTTGTCTTCTTATTTTGTGACTCGTCTTTAACTTTTTGGACTGTTTTTTCTATATTCGTTGAATCATGTGGCCAAGTCAAAACGATGGTTGGGCAAAAGTGGTAGAAAAAACAAAAAAAAAAGATTATGGATGACTTTGAGAGACATTAATTTTGATTGCATTATTGAAAATCAAATAATAATTAATTTAAACAAAAAGTGATTGAATAAATTTATTTTTAATCTAGTTTCAATCTAAATTATTTATAATTGTGCCTTTAGAAATAAGCAGTTACAACAAATACGAAGAAACTGATTATCCGTTTTTAATTTATTCTGGTATTATTCAAACCAAACTATAAAATAATGATTACTAACTTTAAATAATCGATATCGATTTTTTTTAATAATCGAACATTGTACGTTCCCATTTTTTGGTTGGCATGCTTGGTGCAATAAGTCTGACAGCTGTCAAAATGAATTTCTTAGATTTGGTTGACTATAACTTACCTTGTATAATTAATATATTATGCAGTATCATTTTTGTACGCGATAAATGGCAAAACATGTATCTTGTCTTAAGTTTTTAAACCTTTATAATCACCATGTTTTACAAAAAAATCTTTACGTAATTGTTGATTGATTGATTGATAGATTGTTCACCGCCGCCGTCATCGGGATGTCAACGAGAACGAGATTATTTCTGGCCGAGATCAAGATGACGTGACGGCGATCATTTGTCAACCGCGACCAAATCGGTGGATCAGTCAATTCTTGTAGATGTCGTGCGTGATAGTGCGTACAAATAAACATAAAATAAACTCGGGAATGTCTGGTACCTGGCACTAGCGCCATCTAGTGTCGGGGAACAGAGCGAGGGGGGCTTTCTAGAAAATGCCATTCCTGAACTTTACACCTCCAGCGCCATCTAGTATCGAATAGAAGAACTAAGCTTTCTAGAAAGCCCCCACACTCGAACTTTCTGCACCTGGTCGGTATTTGCTGGAATATTCTGGATGTTTCGGTGGAAAAGCCTATTTAAAGCCGTTGAAAGGCGCGATCGGGGCAGCATTGAATTGGCGATACGAGCGAAGCTTTCGGAATGAAATAAAGTGAACTAAAGTGTTAAGTGTGATTAATTATTAGTATGATTTAAGTTTTAATTGGTGTCCAGTAATTAAAGTGTCAATTTTGGTAATTCAATCGGCAGTTTTTATTGACACGAACCCTAAGCTCGTAACAATAACGAGCGTTCACAAGTTGCGGCAGCATGACAAGAAGTTTTTTTATTTTATTATTTTATGTGAGGAGGCAAACGAGCATGCGTCTCACCTGATCATAAGTGACTACCGCCGCCCATGAACAACTGCAACACCAGAGGCATTGCAGAATGCGTTGCCGGCCTTCTAAAAAAGAGTAGGCTCTTTTCTTGAAGGTCCCTTAGTGTTATCGGTCTGAAAAAATCACTGGTGCTATTCGATTCCACAAGGAAGTTGTGCGAAGAAGGAAACTTCTTGTAAACTAAACAGTGGTGAACCGCCAACCATCCAAATAGTATGGATGGTATCTCGAGTTTTGTCGCGATGTGCGATGGCAAAATTAAGAGGCTGGAATTAAGTCAAACATTACCTCCGAGCACTTACTGTGGTATATACGATAGAATACACCAAGCTTTTTAGAGGCCAATTTGGCCAGCCTTTCAAGTAACCACGAAACTGAACATTATGCGATATGTCGACGCCAAGGCATCCGATACTGGAGCCAACTAGGGGAGTGCACTGTAACTGAGGAGATACGACGAAGGGGTGCTTTTTAGCGGTAAACGCGCAAACTTTCTTCTGGGGATTAAACTAGACTAGATTTAGTCGCCCCTATTTCGAGATTTTATTCAACAAAGTCTCGACTTTAGACACAAGTTTGTTTCGGTGCTCGGTGACGTTTTCCCGAGAAATATTCGGCCGTTATATAAAGTATCACCAGTGCTGTTGTCTGCATAACAATGAATGCTACCGATTCGCAACATGTCATTGATATGCAGAAGAAACAGCGTTAGTGATAGCACGCAACCTTGTGGAACACCAGCATTAATAGGCTTGTAATCGGAGCTTGCTCCGTCTACAACGACCTTGATGCTCCGATCTGCAAGAAAGCTGGTGATCTAATGGCACAATTTCTCGGGAAGCCCATAGGAAGGGAGCTTCGTAAGAAGTGCTTTGTGCCATTCAACAAAGTCTCGACATAAGTTGGTCCCGGTACTCGGCGACATTTTCCCGAGAAATATTGGCACGGCCGATATATTAAAGAGTCGGTGTACAAAGAGTATCTTTTGTTTGTACTAACTACTATTATAGGATGTCCACGACGTTCGCTTGAAAACAAGAAACCGGCACGGTGTGACTTCACTGCGCTGGCGTGGATGGACAAGTTTAAATGTGTTCTGTATTGCAGACATATCGGCCCGTCAAAATCTCGTGCCGAGTTCTAACGGTCGCGCTGATCTACTCTAATTTTCGGCGACCGGGATGACGGCGCTCGGGCGATGGCTGTAGTAAATGTATGTGTCGTTACCTCGCCGCAGTCATCTCTTCCCGTTGACATTCCGGTGACTGCGGCGATGGACAATTGCCCTAAGGGTTTAAAAGTCCGAGAAACAAAGGAGAATAGACAGGGGTACGGACATTCACGGGGTGCAAATTTCAATTTTAACATATTATTTGAATAGGTCCGCAATTCAGTGCAACACATTAAGCTTACTATGCGTACACAATGAAAATGGGACTATCAAACAGACATTGAACTGCATTCTTATTTCAAGTGCATTGTGTAGCGAAACAAAAACATGCACATGCAACAAGAAAAAATCAAAAATATCTTAATAAATACTTATTTTTATTAAAATTGTTGCTAATTTTATGTGATTTATTAAATATATTTTTGGCATATTTTTAATTAAATTAAATAATTAATCCCAAAATGGCGAAATGCAATGACGTTATTATGAAAATTAATGTATCGGTAGTAAAATTGTCAGTACATCAATTCCATAATGCAGGATAAGAATAGTATAGCATATCACTTGGTTATCCGCTCTTCAGGCAGTGCCCTTCGTTTGTTCCCAAGTTCATGCCGTTCTTACTAGCCACCTGCGTTGTTTACGTCCATCATCTAATCTTATTGTTTCATAACAAGCATGCAATGTATTCTTTTCCGAAGATGTTCCAAGCAATTGAATATACATACCTATAAGGTGCCCCTTTGTTCATTCTGTCCATAGAGTCGGCCAACAGCATCATATCTTGGTACTGCGCCTTTGTAAGGCTCACAACGAGCTGTTCCATATGGAGGTTGAGAATAACCTTGGGTATACTAAATTTCGGCGTGTCGCCTTCGGGTTTAGGGTTGAGTTTTAATTTGGCAGTAGCGTTTATTGGTCCCAATGCTAAAAATGTATTTAATATTAGAATAAAATAGAATAATTTTTATTCAATATACATTCCCACTGGGATCGGAAAAAGCCTCTGTTCCGGTTAGCCCAGTGGGACTTCTTTAAATAGAAATACAGAAAATATTATATTTCGTCACATAATGACAACGTTTTGTTCATAATATTTCTCTTTTCAAACGTAATTTACTTATACTACATGTTGAAGTCTCGTATTGTGACGAAAAGGTCATACTCAACATTTTGGCACCAAAGATGTAGCAAAATGGGCGGCAAATGCGCCATGGCCTTTTCGTCTTTTTCGAGTAGTTCGAACAGTGGCCTATCTTAATAATTTGTAATCTTTTTAAATAAATGGTAACAATAAATAGCAAAACAATAAACACGAGACTAGAACAGTCTCTACATAACTTGTGTTCTAATTGTTAAGCTTAAAATCTTCACAAAGTTAAAAGGACAGTGATAGAACCTCTCACAGAATAACAGCGTAAAATAGCAGCTTAACGCCGCTGTGTTTCGTATGGTGAGTGTAGTGAACTGGAGATCCTTTTTACTGGAAATGAGGCATTCCATCTTAATCCTCACGAGTGACAACGCATCTGCATTTTGATTCGTAATCGAGGATACATAGGTTTATATACATATGTTTCTTCTATGGGCCACAGCAACCACTTACCATCAGGCCGACTGTGTGCTCGATTGTCACCCTATACCATAAAAAAAGAACCTAAATACAATGAATTAAAATATAACTAGGTTGGATTATTAATAAATAAATAAAAAGAGTTAAACCTATAAATTATAATTTTCACTTTAGGAAACATGTGTAGTTTATAACATTAAACAAGAAATATATTGAAAAATATAATCAGTAAAAATTATAATAGATAACCTTTTCATTAACTGTGTTAATGGGTTTAATTTTCATTATGTAATTCTTACTCTGGCAAATATAAGACAATCTATGCCTATGCCCAGCAGTGGACTTAATAAACTATGAAGATGATAACGATGATGATGATTTACGTACCATATTTATAGGATAGTGGTCGCGAAGATTTTGTAGCGATCTCATTCTGTAATCTGGTCTTGATATCCTGTGGTTCCGACTTAGAGTACATTTCGGTGTCTGGATTCCAATAGATAGCTAACCCTTCCATATCCAATATCTATTAAAAATAAGGAGGAAAATAAGTACATTAGCGTGTCTTTATACAACAAAATAAAAAATTGTTCTAGTATACTTTTGTACAATTAGTAATCTCTTTCAATTCTGATAATTTCTCACTTTACATCTGTAATACCACAGAACAATTTTTGCCGTTTTCTCCCAAAAATATTTTGAAAAAATGTCATTAAAAATCACACATATCTGATCATTTTCATCACCTTTCATTCTGGGACAGCATTTTTTTTAGGAAAATGATAATAATGTTCATCAATATATACACATGGCCAAAATTTGTTAGAAATAACTAAGTCAATATTCTGTTTTAAATAGTTTTATATTGAAAGCATGTACTACAACTATGTAACATTAGATTGCTGACTAAGTGGCTGAACTTGTTCTGCGTAGAAGTGCCGTCTGAGCAGATACTATGTACCTGTTTCTGCCGCCAAAAAAGCGGTCTAGGTGCGACCCGAAAGGTCCACACGACTAACTTCCCAGTGGAAAGAACAAAAAATATCATATGTTTTAATACTTTATACAATTTTTCATTCGACACAAAAAAACGACCTAACCGATTTTGCTCAAAATTTTATGAGGTCTAAGTTACATAATTATGTGTTAAATGAAACTGTTCCCATGTCAATATCACTCTTTGCTCTCGAGATACACGAGGCGAAAATTAAATTCGAACGTACATACACACACTGAAATCTAAATAATACCTTATTATTTAGATTTCTTTGCACACATACGTACATGTGTACACACGGACATCCTCTTAAAAACTACACTGTTCGACTCTAAAGATATTGAAACGTGAAGATATGTTAAAATTTCCAATTTGCAAAATCGGACTCATTACAATAATTTCCCACTGGGAAGTTAATAAAAATAGTGTAGGACCACTGCGGCCGTGGAAGGAAAAGCGGCGGGAGATCTCCTCTTTTCCTTACACAGCCGCAATAGCAGTTGTAAGCACTGTGTTCCAGTCTGTGACTGTGCCTTCTTTGTGTGAAATTTACCGCAGGTGCACATGGGTGGCAGTAGCCACTTACCATCCATGTAGACTGAAAGTTCGCGTGTCACAACAGTTTAAAAAGAAAAAACGAAGCATTAATGATAATTAATAGCCGTGGAAGGTAGAGTCGTGGTACCTCAGATGGTTAGCGCTCGCTGTAATTTTCACAGTACCCGAGCAAACCGGGCTCGATCCTCGCCGGCACCAATTAAATTGTTGAATTGCAATTTTAAGTGCTGATTTACTACGTGCTCGTCGGTGACGGATAACATCGTGGGGAAACCGACATGTATGAGAAATAAGAAAAGAAATATTTCGAAGACATATGAAATTCGCCAACAGGCATTGGGGCAGTGCAGCACACAATTCCTTGACTTAAAACCCTCTCAGAAATGAGCGGAGGCCTGTGCCCAGGAGTGGGACGTACATAGGCTGTAACTTTAATAGCCGTGGGCTTAACACGCGGGCAAAAACTAAATCACCACAATATCGTTTAAAAACAAATTAGCAAATCCAACCTAAGGATTTCAACCCCTTATTGGGGTTAGTTATCAGAGCAATCTTCTATTGATCACTTCAAGGTTTTTCTCAGGCTAAGAAGATTATCGAACGCATTGGTTTAAAGTATTTAAGATGAATGAATGAGAAAAGAGTGACAAAGTAAATTAATATTGCAGAACTGGATGACAGAGTAGGCTAGAGTTCCCCTAAACGAAAGTTTATTGACCACATTGGCGATATATTTAAGATCGGCCAAATTAAGAGTATTCCCTTAACCAACGAGCATGTATATGGATGGTAAATGGTATATGGATGTAAACGAGACGATAGATGTGTGTCAGGATCGTGCCAAATAGAAGTCCGTAGTCTCCGCCTACCCCTCTGGATGACATGCGTGAATGTTTACGTTTATGTTTTTAGATTATAAGTGTAATTAAGGCATTTTTCCTAATCAAACAGAAATTAAAAAAATGTTACCTTAAATATTTTCGTAACCGCTTCCTGAATAACGGTTTGCTTCCAGTTCTCATCGGTCGTATAGACGGATATATTGTGTAGGGTGATGCCGAAAGAGAACGGTGCTTTAGGGTTTGTTATGCTGTCTTCGTATCTTATGTGGATGTCCTTTATTTTTAATTGTACATTCTTTATTATCTGTGTCGCCAGTTTTTCGACGAAAGTCTCGTCTAATTTATTTTCATCTGCAATTTAAAAACATCCAAAAGCAAGTTTAAATCAATAATGTAACAAGGTATCCTCTAAATTATTATATTACCAGAGAATGAGAAAAGTTTTTTTTGTCGACAAACCACGCATTTGAAGTTTGATTCATTGTTTGTGATACGTTCAGCATGGAGTGGAATAATTTGCTATCATCTATCTTTCTCGTATCTTCGTGTCTTCAAAGCAAGAATGAAATGAAATTATATATATATATATATATATATATATATATATATATATATATATATATATATATATATATATATATTTCTTCGACTAAGAAAATAAAACTTAGTTTTTCAAATGTATTTTTTTTCATATCTACTACGATTTTGAAATAAGCTTTAGTCAAGCTAAGTCTGTGCACAGATAACCAACCAGTACCATATCAAGACACGATATATTTTATAAACTCTTTACGCACTATGTGCAGATCGTGCATGGGGCAGTAAACGACAGCCTTCATTCTGTGGCTGTTTGAAGCTACAGTGCTAAGTGCCTCGGAACATCGATGTCGCTTCCCGTGTCTTTGATATAACATTAAGAACTTATTTAAGATTCTTCGAGTAGCTCGGGTGGCTTCAATCATAATTAATTCCTGCCCATGCGCAATATATGCGGCTTAAAGTGGAGTTGCGGACACCGGTCCTGCTCTATCAATCAATCAAGTGAGATAGAAGTCATGCACTGGCAACTAGCTCTAAAGTAAAATGTCTTAGATACTTATTCATTAAAAAACATAACATAATAAACATAATGAAAGTAAATTTAATTTAATTTTTTTTTGTTTAAAGTTAAGTTTTAATTTAATTAAAGTAAAATTCTTCAGATGGCTTCTCCAAAGAAATATAATAAGTAAATGGCTTTGGATTACTCAAAATGAGTCCAGAATACCCTTGAAAGACTAATCTGTGATAATTGAAAGAAAGAATAAATATTTCTAAATAAATAACTAACGCAGACTTAGTTTCCACAAGAAAAGTTTAGAAACATTTTAAATCAATTTTGGCAGAAAAAAGCTAAATTTTGCTATTATAGTGAATAAGATAAGGAAATTGAAACGAAAGTCTTCTCAGATCAATATTTTTCCACACAGACAGGCCAGCGAAGACTTAACTCTCCAGCTAAGCAACAGGACCGCTCAGTGCATTGAAGTCTGCAGAGAGTCTGTGCAACACACACCAAGATAAAAGTATTCTAACTCACGATGTTCAGGTAACTATTTATTTATCTAACGATGCATTAGAAACGTTAATAAATAACAAAATTTCAACATTGCATGTCAGAAAATTACTTGGATATTGGTTCATTAGTATCGTTATATGATGTTCTTGTAATCCAAACACAAATAAGCCTACCAACAGTAGTACCAGCAGTACTGACAATGCCTATGAAACAATAACGACTCAAATGACCATGATGATACCAATATAAACACCGATGATAACAAACAAGATCTCTGAAACTAGAAAATGTATGGGTTGATATTCCAACAAAACAGACTAGTACACCTCTAAAAACTAGTGAAACATTAGTTTCAGTACTATTAAATAAAGAATATAGAGATGCAATAGAAAAACATTTAATTAAACCGTAACCCGTAAAAAAAATTAACTGTTAACAGTGCACGTGCACCTTCTTCTGCAGCAAATTCATCTGCAGTGTGGCGAAAATTTTATGAAGATAAAGAGAAAGTAAAAAACGAGAAGTAAGAACTAAGAAACCTTGAAAAATAAAATAATAGAAAAAAAATTAGAGTGCTAAAGTTCAAATACGAAAAATAGCTAAATCCAAGAAATCTATAAAGGAGAAAAGGGTAAGAGTAAATTGCGCCTTGTGTCATAATATTTTAATAAACGATACAGAAGAAGATCCAGAAAAATATATTCGATGTGACTTTTGCACCAAATGGATTTGAGATGTACTGATGGTTAGAGATGGTAACAGATTTTGTTAAACTAAAATTGAGGAAGTACAAAATACTCGTAAATGAGAAGATTTGATTGCTATATTTAAGATTTTATTATTAGATTATGATTCAAAGAAAAATGATTAATCATTGTTATTATTTTATATCAAAACCATCACCAAAAAGAAAAAAAAATGTTATAGTTAAAAAATCGCAAGCATCGATTGAATAAACTAAACGCACCGATTTCCGAAACCGTTTTGCCATTTTCTGATTTTACAAAAACACTTTTAAGTTTGTTTTACAAAAACTCTTCTAATACAGTGGCCGAAAACTAAAATTCTTGTAGGCCGAAATCTATAATTTGGGGCCTAAAACTAGCGTTTTGCATATTTTTCATTTCAAAACTGCGGAGCGACAGGAACCAAGCTTACGCGCCGATAGTTTAGGTAATTTCTTTTTACAGTGAAAATAATGATATTTTAAAAAAAGTAAATAACATAAGCACTGCTTTATGGTTAGTTCAGTTAGTATGCAAAGTTTCACGATCTTATTTAAAGTATTTTATGAATAACAGCGGTTTATTGTTCAGTTTGGAGGTAACTTTGGATTTTTTTTCTATCGAGAAAATTTTACGGAATCGTGTTTTCGTCTAACATAAACCTTAACATTAATCCTCAACTTTACCATATATTTAATTCAAAATTAATGCTGCAATACTTTCGGCATAACGGAGGATCTTGCTAAGCCATTTGAGGTTATATTTCCCCTTAAATACAAGTTTTTGGGTTGTTCTATTTTATATCCCAAAGTATATAAAATTTGCCAAGTTACAAATTCAATACGAGAGCACGAAACAAACAAACGTTGTACACTCGTATAACTATGATGAACTGGTATGGAGCTTGGCACCCGTTCAGATTCCGCGAAGCCAACAAGCCCGAGCGTAGTTTGTACGGAAATTGGTCTCGTTTTCAAATTTATGTTATTGGTAATACACATTATATGTTTATAAAATCGACTAAGTGCAATCATTAAAAACATAATAATTGCAAGTGTGCGGAGTCTTATCAGATATCGCATAGGGTACTGATTGCACTTTACATACCGCTATTTACAATATTGCCGATAAATGATAAAATGAGGTTTAAACAATGTTAGTATAAATTCTGTTGCTTATTAATAGTGTTATTGTACTAATAATAATCATATATATGTTATCAGACTTGTGTAAAATGTCGAGGTCGAATGCATATTCTATGAACGATTAACTTAAATATACTAAATTTAAAGCTATAAATAGACCAATTTCTAAAAAGCAAACGTATAAATATTTCAAATCAATAAACTTTATGGCTACTACTATTTAAAAATTCATCATCAAGTTTCCCACAATCTTTATGCTGGTCACCCGAAAAATTTGCACACTCCGAAAATATTAATAAAATAAAAAAATGGTCTCTGATGATTAACTTAAATGTAAATGATGTCACATTAATATATTCAACCCAGATAGCGTTGCCAGGCGTCCGGATAAAGCCGGACACAGTAAGGCTTTTTGCTTGCGTGTCCAGCCAAATTAGACAGTGTCCGGTATGTTCGACTTTTGTCAGGCTTTTTAAATTTGACCATTTCTTTACATTTTCAAGTACTTACATACGTACTATAGCAATTATTGAAATTAATATTGTAATGAATATTGAATGATTAATAATAAAGCAGACTAATTAATTCAATTGTTGTTATTTCATTAGAATTTAAGATTTTATGGTAAATGATAAAAACATTACTTCACTTTTTTTAATTGTCGTTTGCCTAAGACTAAACAATTAAGGGTGTTTGGCCTTTTTACCAAAATGTCCAGCTAAGGTCGCTGGTCTGTCCGGCTTTTCGGTTTTAAGACCTAGCAACCCTGCCGATTTCGCACGGGTAACCCAGGCGAAATCGCGCGGGTTGCCAGTATTATTAATAATAAACCACGCAGGACTAGATTTAGCACCATTCCCTTATTCTCAAGTCCGATGGGAACGCAATCCGACACGATAGGTGAGAGATCAGACGTAGGATCAACGGCTTTACTTACTTTCCAAAGCACCGAGATGAGACACCGCCAACTGCCTGACTCCGGGCTGCTACTAGAAATTTCTTGGGAGCAAAACCCACTTACTGATTTTATCACAACCTGGGATTCGAACCCATGCTCAAGCCACTATACCAACGTCGTCAGTTCTTAATATTATCATATAATAGTAACATTATATCATAATGTTCTGTCATATGTATATATCAAGTGTGAGAATTACATCCCACATTTATTGAACCTGTGAACCACATATAAACCAGCAACCTACGGATAAATAAGTACAGTTCATAAACGTACAGTAAAAGCCTATGATGATTATGCATGATAAACAAAAACGACTAATGAGTAGTCGCTACTCTCGTGGACTACTAGAAAACTTACCTTGACTACTCTTTAGCAGACAGGTACTATTATTTTAAGTCGTAAAATCAATTTTTAAATTTCAGTACTATCCTTAAATGTATGTATGTAAACACATATGTATCTTTGGATCACACTAATGTAGACGATAGGGTAGGTACCAATTAATGTAACCGCTTTAAAGTAAAGATGTAATAGAAGTGAGGACACAAACCTTTTTGAGCTTCTTTCTTTTTGGCCTCCTCCACCCTCACCAGCTCAGCCTGTTTGGCCGACAGCGCCATCTTCTCTTCCTTCTCCGGATCATATTTGACTTCAGCCAAGGGATTTACAATCAAAAAGAGGCGTTCTATAGACGCCTCCACTGACGCGCCGTACAAGTTCTTCCATGGTATTTTCAAAACAAGCTTTCCTGTATAACAAAAAATGATATAAAGTTTACTAATTTTAGCTAGATTAATTTTACCGATTTGCCCCTGACAGAAGTTACTGACCTACTAAAGAAATCTGTCATGAAGTCGACATCATATATTATAATAATATGAATCGATTCAAAACTAATAAGATCTTTACTAAATAATGTGCAAGTTATAAAAATCAGGTAGCACCAATCTCTATCGACCTAACAATTTAAAGTAAGCGTCAAAACGATCGATTGTTTTCTCCTCCTTATACTTGTACCCACCTACTTAAATTTTATCTGAAACGCCATTTCACACGGTAACAAATCTAGAGCTCATCCGTTTTCAATGCAAAGGACTGTGCTGGAAATTAGCGCTGATTATTTATCGCCGTATTACGCGAGGTCAAATGGCATAACGACCTTCGTGTTAAGTTTGTATGAGTCACGTACACTATCAACCGACGATCAACCGACCGATTTGAGAGCATGATGTCACTGTCTGAACTTTAATAGGTGTATAAAATATTAGAAACCACCATGGTCTACGATACAAATAGCGACTAACCTTTATATATTTGGCGACGACGACGTGCCGTGAATGAAATACTTAAAGTTTTTTAATTACTATAGGCATGTGGAAAACACACCCAAACCTACAAAATTCTTTGATATAAATTCTGCAAGCTATATAACTATCGTATATTTTAAAAACCGACGTAATTAACTGGACTAGCATTAGAAGTTCTGTTCATTTAAAAATTATTACATTATCAATGTGCGATAATTAAGAGCCGTTACAGATCGACATAAACTAGTGACGGAAAATCCATCCAAAAATAGTGAACTAAAACTTCAAACTGGAATGTGGAGCAGCATTAAAATAACGGATGTATCGATTCTGCGCTCACTAAGCCACTTGTCAAGCAGAGTTTGTTTTTTTAGTCCGAAGTGACAAATGAACCTGCAGTCCAGCTCCCCACCAGTTTAGGAAACCTACAAACAACACCAAACAAAGAATGCACACCAAACATACAGATGCACTGTAACCTCATTGAGGACTACGACAGAATACCTCACAGCCTGTAATTATAATGGATCTATAATCTATATACCTCTCAGGCTCAGAAGGGCTAGAACCCAAAGCCATAAAGCCAGTTACTAAAAAAAATATACTCTTCAGACCAGAACACAGCACTGCAAGCACTGCTATTTGGGAGTAAAAATAGGTAGTGACCTACTCAGGCGAACTCCTAGGCCGAAAACGAATCCTACCGTAGGATTCCTACCACCTAGTTAAATGATTTTTTTATAGTTTGAGGGTGGCAAACGAGCACACAGTCCATCTGATGGTAAGTGGATGCTGTGGCTAGACTTGCCAGATAGTCGGGATTCGTCTGGATTCTCCCGACATTTTAAATGATCTCCAGACTCCCAACAAAACTCAAAATCACCAAACAAACAGCTCTTCTCTTCACATCACAACTGCCTTTGTAAAGTTGAGTATTTACTAATTCTATCAGACTGAACTTTAAAGTAAATTGTTTGAATTTTAAATCTTTTCTGAATACAACTACTAAAGCATCTAAATGTGGACTCTGTAAAATCCAATGCCAAATACATGTGCCAACCTAAAATTAGTGTACTTAAATTTGTTATGTGTCAACAAAAGTCCTTTTCTGGCCTATTGATTTAAAAAATTAATTAAAACTACTTTTACGGATTTTATCGCGTTTTATTTATTTTATTTTTAATACCCGACTTTTCGGATGCTATGGGTATGGGGGGAGGAAAGCACCCGAAACGTCGAGAATTAAAAATAAAATAAATAAAACGCGATAAAATCCGTAAAAGTAGTTTTAATCAACGTATAGTGTTCAAGTAAATATAAGAAATCATTAAAAAAATACTTTTTTCTTTAATAATTATTTCTCCAGACAACAAAACAAAACAAAACCACAAAACTCCGACATTTTCAAATTTTGTCCAGATATTTTGGTCTGCCTATCTGGCATTCCTAGCTGTCGCCCATAGACATCCTCGATCCTCGACAGATGCAAATGCCTTGTCACTCGTGTGGACTAAGATGGAATGCCACGTTTCACGTAAAAAAGGGTTTCCGGATGTCTGCACTCACCATACGAAACATAGCAGTATTAAGCTGCTATTTTACGCTGGTATTCTGTGAGAGCGTGGCCCTTTCCCGGTCGAGCCGACCCATTCGTGCTACAACCATAGTATAGCTGCAGCGTGGCTCTACCACGTATAAACAAAATAGAAACAGCTTCTAAGTAATGCATTCCAGAATAACCAATTGACTCAAAGTTTGTTATCTAAAGATATTAAAATATTAAAAATATTTAAATTAATAAATTAAAGATATTAAAAAATCCCTTTTTTACTATAACATTGAAGACCTTATATCGACGGGTGATAGACGAAATAACTTATGCGACATTTTTACAAAGGCTCCAAAATACAAAGTTATAATTTTGGGGATACATGCGTTTTGTGATTGTTCTTGTGTGTCTGACAACTGTAGTTCAACTTATCTTTGATATTATTGCACAAAAGGGCATTTTGTTTATCACATATAGCCACATATGTATCACACATAGTTCAACACATACACTTTAATTATTAATTAATTTTTAAAACCACAAACCCTATCAAAAAACTTATTAAGTGTTGCCGTTACCGTTACAGCCTATTAAAGTCCACGCATTACGAAAAAATCATGAGTGCAATTAGTTTAAATAAAATTTTCGTATTTTTAAAATATACTAAAAAAAACCGGCCAAGAGCGTGTCGGGCCACGCTCAATGTAGGGTTCCGTAGTTTCCCGTCCGTCACAATAAGTGTTCCCACTTATGAGTTTAAAGGTGGGTATCCATTATGTTCGCGCTCCAGCAGCGCTCCGCGCTCCTGCAACTGCTCCCGGCAGTGGGTACTGTTGTTTCCATCCAAGTTCAAAAGGATTTTCCTAGAAAGTCCTTATAAAGTTCTATTTTTCAGATTTTTTTCATATTTTCTAAACTTATGGTTCAAAAGTTAGAGGGGGGGGGGACACATTGTTTTTTACTTTTGGAGCGATTATTTCCGAAATTATTGATACTATCAAAAATGATTTTAGTAAACCCCTATTCATTTTTAAATACCTTTCCAACAATATATCACACGTTAGGGTTAAAATTAAAAAAAAAAATCACTTCCCACTTTACATATAGGGGGGCTACCCTAATAAAACATTTTTTCTTCTCTTCTAATTTTTATTTTACCACTTTGTCGGCGTGATTGATACACATATTGGTACCAAATTTCAGCTTTCTTGTGCTAACGGTCACAGAGATTAAGCGAGGACGGACAGACGGACAGACAGACATGGCGAAACTATAAGGGTTCCTAGTTGACTACGGAACCCTAAAAAGGGCTCGAAATAATAGATTTTCTCACAAAAGAAGGGAACTTGAAAAAAAAATCGGACCGAAGACGGGACGCGAACCAAGGAATTACGATTTCGCGACCGCTCGATATCCACTTGAGCTATTACGATCGTTAACAGTGTCAAAATTTACCTTCTTATATTGCAGCAGTTTTTCATTGCCTGAAAACACGGACAAAAAGACATTTGCTAAAAATAAATCCTAGCTATATCGACTTATTGCCCCCGAAACTCCCTGGACACTAAATTTTATGAAATACGTTGGAGCCGTTTCCGAGTTTATTTATATTATATATATATATATATATAAAAAACAAATTGCTCATAATAGTATAGGATTATTGAGTAATTTATAAATTCTGCAATATGTCCTCCAAGCAATTACCAACACTAATTTCATTATTGAGTAGATATAATTTTATGTCCTAAATAAATTTAACAGTGATACATCCACGCTGCAGCTATATAATGGTTGTAGTACGAATGGGTCGGCTCGACGGGGAAGGACTACACTCTCACAGAATACCAGCTTAAAATAGTAGCTTAATACTGATGTGTTTCGTATGGTGAGTGTAGAGATCCGGACACACTTTTTTACACGAAACGAGGCATTCCATCTTAGTCCTCAGGGGTGACAATGCATCTACGTTTTGATTCATAATCGAGGATAAATGGTGGACTATGTACTCGTTTGTCAACCTTATTCTATAAAAAAAATAGTCACTTTTAATGTACATTTGCAATCGTTTTTTTTTTCTTTGCTACCACAGATGTGTTAGCGAAGAACTTGGCGTTTTTTTACAAGCATTCCAAAAACGTTACGATTGGAAGTTTGTCTTTAACATCATTTTAAATTATTTTATGCCATGATTCTAATGAATCTGTAATCCTATGAGGTACTTCCTTTTATTTCTGCGTTGACCTTTCAAACAACAAATACGTATATATTTTTATAGGTAATGTCTACTGTCTTGAGACAGTTTTTATCATGTTTCTATAAATAACTGTCGCCGCCGAGGGAGAAAATTGGAAGAAAAGTAATATAAATTCCGAATATCCATCCCGTCTGGGGTGTATAGATGAACACGCGTTTCCGAGTATCTCTACCCTAAGCTGGATTTAGGCTTGATGAATGGAATAACCCGCACAAAATTTTACATCATAAACTGGTAGTTTGAGACAAGTGTTTTGCGCATACACTTACCGCAAAAATATATCCATGCTCTCTGAAGTAAATAACTTCCTTTGTCAGAAACCATTCAAATGATCAAAAAAGTATCATAATGTAGCATGTACATAGTTCATATATTTCATTTAAGTTTTGTTTTGACATTTGAGCTATGGAGAGGGCTATGCTTGGAGTTTATCTGCATGATAAAACCTGTAATGAGGAGAATCACAGAGGAACAGGTGTAACTGACATAGCCCAGTGCATCAGTGGACTGAAGTGGTAATGGGCTAGCCATCACAACTGATGAGAGGAAAGATTCAGCTTCATCCTGAAAAGCAATGCTGGGCAAACCCTTGCTAGATGAAATGGCAATGTTTAGCAGTGATCTTGTGATACGTT